CAACAATTCTGATTGGTCTTCCTGTGCATTGTGGGAACCATGATCTGATGTTTGGTTTTTTGTCCAGTGGGCCATGTGAATTCTGGTTCAAAACAGAATTATTATGGTTTATTTGTCATGGCTTGTGATTTGAGGTCAAGAGGAGCCTCCAGGGCCGTACTAGTGTGTCAGCCCTGGGGGGGGGGAACTCTCAGAATTGTACACTAAGCCAAGCGTGCCTGGAAACGCCGTAACTCAATTTCCCATGTTCAAGCACATGCTTTGGTCCCCTCCCAGAGATGGCTGGGTAGGCAAGGCATCCTTAAAACTGGTCAGACTTGCTAAGGGGTGTTTCGGACTTTTTTCCCCAAAATAACAACCTTTTTTTAAAAAAAAAACCATATTTTTTTTTTGCAAACATTATTTTAAAGACCAAGAAGTCAAGCGTAGGTCTGCTTGGTCTCTTTCCAATCTGTTCTGCATCAGTTTGCAACTTTTTTAAAAAGGAGAAACTTGGATTCAGTTTGGTGCATGTTTTTCGTCCCCCCCCCCGTCCATGTTCAATGCACGTTTCTATAATACTCACAATTTACTGCATTTTCTGTGGGAAATCATCAGCTGAGGGAAGTGTGGGTATCGATGCTGAACATGATTCGTGAAAATGTCCAAGGATCACAAATTTGGCCTTTGCATTAAAACACAAGTTTGGCAATCCTTTCCTCCATTTGTTCCCTGAAGAAGTACAATTTGCAAAGAGAAACAAGATCTTTTTTAACAACCATTTTTAAATCACTTTTTAGAACAAAAGTAATAAAAACCAATCAAGAAGCTGCTTGAAACTTCTTTAGCTTGGCTTTATGAGCAAAGAAGTCCGTGAAATCAATTATTTGGGTTCATAAGATAATGTATATTTTTGGAATTCAAAATTAAAACAACACCTTACACTTCTAACTCAGAAGCATTTCCAGGGATTTTAGATGGAAATTCTCTATGGAGTCAGTAAAGGTAGAAAGTGGCTAGAATTGAACTGCTTTTTAATAACAATTAGTTGAATAAATTATTGTAATAGTGGTGGAATTTACCTGACATGGCAAACTAAACAAGTTGTATCCCTTATGTGTGGCATATAATAAAATTAATGCTACACGTAAACTCAGTTCTTGTTTTACTGAACAATTTGAGGTTCTGTTCTGGGGTTTCCTGGTTTAAAGAAATCATGATCTATAAGAGGCCATACTTTGATTGCAGATTAAGCTCTGAAGGTAGTATTTTTCAACCTTGACAAATCTAAGATGTGTGGACTTCAACTCCCAGAATTCCTCATCCAGCAAGCTTTAAGATGGGTGGACTTCAGGGATTCTCAATTTTGACAATTCTAAGAGTTGTGGACTTCAATTTCCGTAATTTTATAGACAGCATGTTTAAGAGGGGTGGGCTTTAGTGTTTCTCAGCCTTGAACTCTTAAGACATGTGGACTTTAACTCCCAGAATTCCCCAACCAGCCTGTTGGCTCTGGAATTCTGGGAGTTAAAGTCCACACCTCTTAAAGTTGCCAAACTCAGAAACACTGTTCTGGAGAGTCCCTGTTTGAGCAAGGGGTTGGACTAAAAGCCCTCCAATGTCCCTTCCAGCTCTTTTATTCTATTATTCTGCCATGTTCAGAAAAAGCTCAGTGCTCAAAGCTTATGGGGTTGGACTTTAGAGGTTAACACTGAGTAGCCGCTTTAAAATTATACAATACTGATTTGAGGTTGCAGAGCTGTTACACGTGGATTGTTTATTTGTTGTTTTACTATATTGCTAGTGCTGAGGTTTTGTTTTGTCTGGTGATAAATACACATATAAGTAAATAAATACTGCTCGTCCAATGTTGTGACTGTGTTAGCAGTATGTAAACATGTATCTTTTTTACATCAAAACCAAGATTTAAATTCATATCCAGGGAGTGGCGGAGAGATTGAAGCCAAGAAGAGATCCCCTAAGCTAGCTGCTAAAGGACTACTGAGTCCTGGGGATTAATATTATTTTACAAGCTACCCACATAATGGTTTTTGGGGGCTGAGTCAGACGCTTTCTGTTTGTGAACCTTATTAGCTTAAAAGAAAGATTTGAGGTATGCGTCAATGATTCTGTACGTTTTTTAGAAATCATTTGGAGGGGAAACGCATCTATTCAGACTCCTGAAAGCCAGAGACTGTTGATCTCTGAATCACAGTTGCTGGAAGTTTTCAAGAAAAGATTGGACAGCCATCAGTCTGGGATGGTATAAGGCACAGGTCGGCAACCTGCGGCTCCGGAGCCGCATATGGCTCTTTGAGCCTTCCCCTGCGGCTCCCAGCCTCCTCGGCCATTTTCAGAGAGAGACAGAGAGAGGCACTTGCGCTTTCCCCCCCCCCTCTCTCTCTCTGTGTGTGTGTGTGCGTGTAAAAAAGAGTGGACTCACACGGTGTTCTTACTGGGCGGGGCTCCTGCCTTTGCTGCGGCTCTGCAGGAAACAGGAAGCAGGAAGGGCAGGAGAGAGCTCGCTAGCCCAGCTCTGCTGACTCAGGAATTCTGGGAGTTGAAGTCCATGAGTCATAAAAGAGCTGAGCTTGTTGGAGAACAGCTTGAAGCCAGCTTGCCAGGTGAGCAGAAGATCGGAGAGAAGGAGGAGGGGGGGGGGAGAGAGAGAGAGAGAGGGAGAGAAAGAGAAAGAGAGAGAGAGACTAGACTAGAAGACCTCCAAGATCCCTTCCAGCTCCTATTCTGTTCTGTTCTATTCTAAATTTATATGGTATAAATCTATTAAATAAATCAATAAATATGATTGACTGCATCAGTGGCAATAAGCAACTGGGCACACAGGAAGTCCTCAATTTAAAAAACAATTGGAACTTGGAACACCCGTTGCTAAGCCATGTGGTCGTTAAGTGAATCATGCCCAATTTTCTGAAGTTTTTTGCTGCAGTTGTTAAATGAATCGTGTGATTGTTAAATGAATCTAGCTCCCCCCCCCCATTGACGTTGCTGGTTGAAAGCCAGCTGGGAAGATTAGCAATGATTGTGTGGCGGCAGGACGCTGCCACTGTCACAAATACAAGCCAGTTACTAAGCGTCCGAATTTTGATCCTGTGACCATGTGGAAGCTGCAGTGGTCATAAGAGGAGGGACCCGTTGTTAGTCACTTTTTTCAATACAGGTACTTTACGACCATTTAGAGCCCAAAATTTATATTGCTAAGCAAGAAAGTTCTTAAGTTTTGAGTTTTGTCCCATTTTACAACCTTTCTTGCCGCAGTTGTTAAGTGAATCACTGTAGTTAAGTTAGTAACACAGTTATTAGTGATTCTGGCTTCCCCACTGCCAGGACCCCTGGACTCTGCAGCCGTCATAAATATGAACCACTTGCCAAGCGTCTGAATTTTCATCACGTAACCATGGGGGATGCGGGAATGGTTGGGTGAAAAATGGTCGTCACTTTTTCAGTGCTGTAACTTTGAATTATTGTAAGTTGAGGACTAGCTGTATGTAGGGCAACATGAGAGAGAGAGAGAGAGAGAGAGAGAGAGAGAGAGAGAGAGAGAGAGGAGGAGGAGGAGGAGGAGGAGGAAAACAGGAGGAAGAGGGAGAAGCAAGAAGAGAAGGAAAAGGAAAAGAGGAGGAGGAAGAAAGAAGAAAGAAGAAGCAGAAGAAAGAAGAAAGAAGGAGAAGGAGAAGGAGAAGAGTTTTAATCCTGGTATGAGGAAGTTGTTCAGTAGCCAGACCCCGGGTGTTTGCCATTGACTTTGTGATAGAAGGCTTGTGTTTCCTGGCCTGGATCTCATGGCCGGGTGCCCATTTGCCAGGTGTGAATGAAGGGCCTGAGTCAGGCTGGGGGCCCGCAGACGGGCCGAGAAGGAAGTCAGGCCCTCCTCTGATGTGGAGGGGGGGGGCACAGCGGCACTGAGAGGCTTGTCTTTCTTTTCTTGTTGTGTTGTTGTCTTTCACAAGGAGTGGTGATTCCCAAGCAAAGGAGCACATACCAGATGGATGATGTGGCCCCTGGAGAGGAAATGGTCTGAAATGGGAAGGCAGGCTCTCGCACCCATATCTCAGTGACAGTAACACAGTAGCAGAGCTGGAAGGGACCTTGGAGGTCTTCTAGTCCAACCCTCTGCTCAAGGCAGAAGACCCTATAGCAGGGCTCTCCAACCTTGGCAACTTTAAGACTTGTAGACTTCAATTCCCAGAATTCCCCAGCCAGCTTTGCTGGGATACTGAATGCCTGACCTATTCCCAAAGTAGATTCCACAACAATGTACAGGTAGTCCTTGTTTAGTGACCATTCGAAGTTACAACAGGGTTCAAAAAGTGAGTTAGGATCGGTTTTCACACTGACAACCGTTGCAGCATCCCCATGGTCACGTGATCAAAATTTGGATGCTCATCAACTGACTCATACTTATGACGGTTGCAGTGTCCAGGGGTCACGTGATCCCCTTTTACAAACTTCTGACCAGCAAAGTCAATGGGAAAGCCAGATTCACTTAACAACCATTTTACTAACTTAACTGCAGTGATTCACTTAACAACTGGGACAAGAAAAGTTGTAAAATGGGGCAAAATTCACTTAACAAATGTTTCACTTAGCAACAGAAACATTGGGCTCAATTGTGGACATAAGCTGAAGACTACCTGAAAGGGGAAAAAAAGCAGGGGAAAGCAGAGGAGAACCAGAAGCCCACAGGAGACGCTGTCACCCTCTTATCGGGTGTGAGACGCTGCGGAGTTTGAAGGACGGGCCTTTGCGTTTAAAAAACAAAAGGGAGAAATCTGCTTATCCAGGCAGCCGGCAGAAGCTGCGATTGTGCAAGGGGTGTGTGACAGAACACTCCTCCTGCGGAGGAAACCATGGCAGGCAGGGAGGGAGGGAGGGGCCGCATCCACACAAGCCGGGGCAAAGCTTTGGCATCTGTGCAGGCAGGTTGAGCCGGACTCCCAGGCCTGTCCACTTCCCTGCGCGCGCCACTTGCAGCCGATTTGAGCAGCTCCTCTGAGTTGAAGATGGGGCTCGGAGGAGAAGGCGATACGGAAGGTATTTTCATTCATACCTTGCGGAAGAGGTTGGACTAGAGCAGGGCTTTTCAACCTTTTCACCCATTTTACCACTTTTAGGCTATGGCAATATCCGAGGACCACCAGTCGCCTAGCAAGGTGTCCAAAACTTGATGACCAAAAAAAAAAAAAGAAGGAAAAAAGTGATAAAGTATAGATAGTCCTCAACTTACAACAGTTCGCTTAGTGACTGTTCGAAGTTACAATGGCACTGAAAAAAGTGCCCCCCAAGGTACAGCCAAGCAAGACACCTGCCTGCCCACCCAGCGGCGCTCTCATTCCCCTCCCCCGCTACCACTTTTCTTGGATGGTCGTGTCAGGTGCCAATGTACCACAGGTGGTACCCGTACCACTGGTTGAAAAGCCCTGGACTAGAAGAGGACCTCCGAGGTTGATTCTATGATTCTATGATCTTGGGCAGGGGGTCGGACTAGAAGACCCCCATGGTGCCTTCCGGCCCCTTGATTCTATGAGCTTGGACATTCAGTTGTTTCCTATCCACTGATTGAGTGACTGATCGAGCCACCGGTGGTCAGGACGGACTGGCCCTTGGGACTCCAGTTCACTTTCCCTGAATTTGTCAAGTTGATTGCAGGAACTTAAAGAGTTTTATGTTTTTTTTAAAAAAACCTTCAGTTGTCTTGGTACACATTTCTCCAAAGAAACAAACAGAAACCCTTATTTGTAATTTTGCCCAACATGCACAAGTTTTCCCAAGCAATTCTTCCACATATACACAGTTTTTTCGTTTTCCTGAACCTAAGCATTTTTCTGTAGACTTTTGCTAATGGGGCTGTTGTTTAAAACACATGAGAACTTGCATTGCACAATCCTAAAATCATGCCTTCTCTTTTTCTCATGAGATTGAACTTGGGAGCCCTCCCCCCACCCCATTGATGCCCTTCCTTTCTGTCGTCTCCCCAGGTCTGCTGGCCCGAGTGCTGGAGTCCCGGAGCAGCGTGACAGCGGTGTTTGGCAAAGACGTGGTGCTCCCCTGCGGCTACCAGGCCACGCCGGGCGAGACGGTGCTGCAGGTCACCTGGCTGAAGCGAGGGGAGGGCGGGCAGAGTGTGGAGCTGGCCATCCTGAATTCAGAGCACGGGGTCCACATCCAGGAGGCCTATGCAGGCCGGGTGCTGCGCCTGGGGCAGGGCTCCCTGGTCAACGGCTCCGTCCTGCTGAAGAACGCGGTACAGGCCGACGAGGGCAGCTACGAGTGCCACCTCATCACCTTCCCCCGGGGCAACTTCGAGTCCCACCTGGCTCTCAAGGTCCTAGGTAAGCACACCTGAGGAGGTGCAGCTCCAGGCCTCACTGAGATGTAGTGTTGATCGTCCTCAAATAACAATACAGGCGGGCTGTGACTTACAACAGCTCCTTTAGTGACCGTTCCAAGTTACAACATCACTGAAAAAAGGGGACTTATGACTGTTTTTCACACTTATGATTCTTGCAGCATCCCCCGGATCATATGATCAAAATTCAGACGCTTGGCCACTGACTCGTATTTATGACAGTTGCAGTGTCCCGTGACTCCCTTTTTGCAACCTTCTGACAAGCAAAGTCAATGGCGAAGCAGGATTCACTTAACCACCCTGTTACTAAAGTGGTTCGCTTAACAACTGTGGCAACTGTCGTTAAATGGGACAAAACTCACTTAACAACTGTTTTATTAGCAACAGAAATTTTGGGCTCAATTGGGGTCATATGTTGAGGATCACCTGTAGTTCATTTAGAGACTGTTCGAAGTTACAACAGCACTGAAAAAAGTGACTTTTGACTGTTCTTCAGTCCTGCATATGCACAGGCAGCCCTCAACTTAACAACTGTTCATTTAACGACCATTTGAAATTACCATGGCACTGAAAAAAGTGATTTATGACCGTTTTTCACACTCATGAATGTTGCGGCAACCTCCTCGGGGGTATTTGTAACTCTGTTCTGAAGTTCACTGGAGGGTGACCTCCTGGTCAGGCAATCACATTTTGGATGCTCAGCAACTGGCCCGCATTTATGACTGTTTGCAGCTATTTGGGGAGGCTACAATGGCCGTAAATGTGAAAAACGGTCAGAAATCACTTTTTTCAGTACTGTTGTAACTTCAAACGGTCATTAAATGAGCTACAGGTCATCCTCAACTTACAGCCAGAATTGAGCCTAAAAGTTATGTTGCTAGTAAAACAGCTGTTAAGTGCCCCATTTTACGACCTTCCTTGCCACCATTGTTAAGTGAATCACTGCAGTTGTTAAGTTAGTAACAGGGTTGTTAAGCGAATCCGGCTTCCCCTTTGACTTCGCTGGTCAGAAGGACACAAAAAGGGGATCCCTTGACACTCCCTCCCCCCGGGACACTGCGACCGTCGCAAATATGAGTCACTTGCCAAGTGTCTGAATTCTGATCACGTGACCCTGGGGAGGCTGCATCACTCATGTGAAAAACGATCACGAGTCACTTTTTTCAGCGCTGTTTTAATTTCACACGGTCATTAAACGAACTGTTCTAAGTTGGGGACTACCAGTACGTATGCAGGACTGAGTTGGTCCTCGGGGGTCTTTTCCCCCCTGAGCTTGTTCTTGTGCTCTGAGTGGACGGGTGGCCGAGCTGGGAGGGCCACTGGCCAGGGGAGGGAGACGCAGGGAAGGCGGCTGCATGCCGGGCTTCTCCTGCTGGGATGGGTGGCTCCTTGCACGGACCTAGAGGAGCCAGCCCTGCCGCTCCCCACTCGTCTCCCTTGTGCCCCAAAGGAGGTGGCACCATCCTGATAGCTCAGGATGGGCCCTGGGCCCTTCCCAGACCTGCCTCTAATTATAGCTCTAGAAGTGTGTAGGATTTTAGGGCAATTAGGATCTGCGCTTGCCTCCAGGATGGCTCAGAGAGGATGAGTTTTAACGGGATTTTGAAATTGGGCAGGTGAAACTAGAGAGGCCTTGGTTGTCCGAAGTGGGTCTCTTTGCACCCCAACCAACTCCCGGAGAGCAGAAACTGTATTTCAGAATGGAGAAATAGGGGTATCTTTTTTGTTTAGCTCTAGGAGCATGAAAAATAAGAACAGACCCCCCAGACACACAGGAACTCAGGCACAAAGACACCCATCTGGGACCTTGTAAGCTTCTGTTCTTCCAAAAGCCGGAACTTCACGGCTGGTCCTGGCACGGCACCAATCCGTATTGATTACAGGCACTCCTCAACTTATGACCACAATGGAACCCAAAACTTATGTTGCCAAGCAAGACATTTGTTAAGTGAGTTTTACCCCATTTTACAACTTTTTTGCCACAGTTGTTAAGTGAACCATATTCCAGTATTTGAGAGGCTGCCACAAAGAAGAGTCAAATTATTCTCCAAAGCACCAGAGGGCAGGACAAGAAACAATGGTTGGAAACTGACCAGATAGACGGTGGAGAGTCCCTCCTTGTGAAGTGGGGGCAGGGGGTTCAAGTGGGCCTGTTGATTATATACCTGGCTCCCTGCTAT